CCCAGGGGGGATGGCCACACCGCAATCCCTTCTCCTCCATTCTCTTCTCGGGATCTTGGGCACACACGCACATGTGCCCGGCGTGAGTTTTTAAGCCACCGGGTCCGGGACGTGAACTGCGGTCGACTACATGGGAGTCCAGCGACATAGCCATTACGCTAACTGCTGGTCCCAGTATTTTATTGTTTTTAAGTGTTGGGCAGGAGAACTAAAGTTTCATTTATTTAAGACCAAAACAGCTAAAAATTGTGTTGGGGGTTATTTATTATCTGGAAATAACTTTTCTGAACCAAAAATATAATTTACCTTTATATATACATATATATATAATACATATATACTATATATATGTACATATAACTTAGACTTACAGTCATTTTGATCAGATATCAGAAACTTGGAAGATTTACCTAAACCTCAATGACTCCATTTGTATCCAATGTTGGTTTTATGTACTACTGATGAGCTAGGGATATCAAAAAGCAGTTCACGTTTTGTCCTTTCCATGTTTTGTTCTCTCTGGCAAAGAGATTCTGGATTATTATTCAGTACTGGGCAGGATGCCAGAGTTCAGGGGTTGCCAGGAAGGATGGGAACCCTCCTTACATCGGGAGCTCCCAGTAATGAACAAATGAAAACAAAGGAAGATGGGAAAAGGGTGGAGGCTGGCTGTGGGGTGCTGACTTTCTGAGTTCCTATTTTAGATCACTTGCACGGAATCATTAGGATGAGGGCCATTTCTCCATTATTGTGAAGGTCACCAGAAACAGGATCTGGTGTCTTCATTTACCGTCTGTCAAAGCGAGTATGACACAGAAGCTTAACCAGAAAAAGTGCTGTAGCCCTTACAATGAAAACATTACCTAAAAGTGTAACCTCACTCTGCACTTTTCCAGCAAACACAGAAGAAATGAGCATAATAAAACTTTACATAGTTCAAAATCATGCAGGGATCCAGTGCAGAAAATATTTATCATATCAGAACTGTTGCTATAGAACATGAAACCTCTGATGCCTGACTAAAACTACACTCTTCATTCTTTTGCTTTTCTTCTTTGTCATGCTCCTATCTCTACTTTTTCCAGACACTAGGCACATGTATCATGCCAACACAATCATTATTTCTTTTCCTTTCTCTATCAGCCCTTCCCTAGATACCATACTGAAACTCAGCTCCCATGCCTATATAAATAGTTCCCAAATTCACATTCCGATGCTGAGCCCTTTTCTGAGATCCAGATTTGTATTTCCAATTATTTAATATTTTAACTACTATCCCTGTCTATCTCGATGAACCTTGTTAAAAACACCTTAGATGAAACGTTCAGGTAATGTTCCTTTTATAAAAAGCATAAGTACATTACTCCAGATGTCCCAAATTGGCTTTTATAACCACAACCCAAGTGTCTGCCACCTGAGTACCTCCAAACATTCAGACATCTGGAATTTTTAATAATTAAAGGGAAAAAAATGGTTGAGAACCTTACTCCATATAATGTCTTGGTCGATATCTCTAAGGATTCTTGGAGGAAAGGGAACAGGTGGGAAGGGATGGGGTATTGTATTTCTACCAGCCACCTCATCTTGTCATCTTGTGCTCCAATTTCCTGCTTTGGTCAAGTTCTAAGTCTTAGGGGCTGCTGGTTTCTTTATGGTGCACATGTGCCAATGACTCCCAGATTCCATCTCCCCCTTGAGCTCTGGAATAAATTTCCTAAATGCCTTTTCAACACTCACCTTGGATATCTAATAAGCATTTCACACTTAAAGTACACAAAACTAGATTCTTCTCCCACCACACACCTGTTTCTGTAACTCTCCCCACCCCAGAAAATGACACTGCAATTTATTTAGTTCTTTGAGCTGAAAATCCAGGAGTCGTCTTTGATTTTTCTTGTTCACACACACCCCACAACCTGTCTGCTCACTTTTCAAAATATATACCAGTCTAACCATTTCTTGTCCCTTTGATACTATAATAATCTCTCACCTGGACAACTGCAATAGCTTCCTATTGTCTGTTGTTTTGTTTACATACTTGGCCCTCCACAGTCTATTCTCTTTACAAAAATCACTGTGATCCCCAAAATGTAAGTCTAACCATGTCACTCCTCAATCTGAACTGTCCGGTGGCACCTCCTTGCATCTGGAATAAAAGCCAAACATTTCAGTTTATCAGTTCGTCGTGACCTTGCCTTCACCTACTCTATCTTCATGTCTTCTCATGTCCTTCATTGTTTCTTAAAGCTCTAGCCATTATGGCTTTCCTTTTCTTCCTTTATCACAAGTTTTTTTTGTTTGTTTGTTTGTTTTCCCCCATCTCAGGGCTTTTGTATTTGACATTAGTCTCTATATGAAATGCTCTTTCACCTTTTTTTTGTAGAGAGACGTTTTTGATACAGGGTGTGTGTTCTTGCCAGAGAGACAGAGAAAGTAAGAAATTACCCCCCACCCTCCCAGGGAGGATGGCCATGCCACAATCCCTTCTCCTTTATTCTCCTCTTGGCATGCACAGATACCCACGTGAGTTTTAAGCCTCTAGCTCTGCGACTCAAATCATGGTCAACTACACAGGAATCCAGTGATGTAACCTTTATGCCATCTGCTGGTCCCCACCATTTTTTAATTGTTTATAACTTAGTTTAGGATTATTCAAGATAATATGACTATTTGTAGCTTAAATAAACACATGGGACTTGTCCTTCAAATTTTAAAACATAACCTTTCTTCTCCATAAAATACAAAGAGTAAGGAGATTGAGGAAAGTATACTTTTAAACACTTACTATTTATCTTTCTATAGGCAAAGCAATTTAGCTTCCTTTTCCTCTGGTTTCCCTGGGGGAAGCATTCATATCAACTATGTTACTGGTGTGTCCAATAAATCACACTTTAAGGTGATGTAACTTTTTTAAAAAGTTTAGCTATCTGTGTATTATATTTACACATGGATATATCTATATGGGGTCATCTACGTATGTATGTATTCATATGGTCCATGTTGTATCCTACAGTATGTGGATATATTCTCATAATATTTCTGTATACACATATTTTTTCATGTGGTGCCTTTTATTGATGCCAAAAATATTGAGCTATGTGATTCAGTCCCAGTAAATCTGTCTGTGCCTGCTCTGCATAAGATTGTAACTTTTTTTCATCCTTATTGCCCAATTTTATTTAATTTTCCAAAAGAAATGTAAGGGATGGCCATGCAAAGCTGGCCAGCAGGACTTGACTACGGATCTCTGGCTGGAGGTGCGGTAGCTCCACAACCCCTTTGGCCCCCCACTGCCCCAGCTCAGACCTGGTACACTGATGACTATGGGTTGGGTGTGGATGACCACGCTTAGCATCACTGAGCAGGCTGGTGCAGAAAGGATAAACAAGTTTGTTTGGTATGATCTGGTTTGGTTTTTCATTTACAATTTCAGCTCTCAATGGCTTACATTACTAGTGACTTCTTTTCCATCTCTGGCCTGAGCTTTGCAGGTTGACTTTACATTGGAAGACTGGGTCCCAGGAAAGAAAGAATAAGGCTCCTTACAAAGAGCAGAGCCATCAGAAAAGAAGAGTTATACAAGGACAAGCTGTAGAAATATGTTATAATTTAGCCTGAAACAGTACTATCAAGATGCCAGAAATGTTATACCCATATTGTTTAGGGCCACATCTGAAAGTTTTCTTGCATAGTTTTGGCATATTTTCTACAAAACTTGGAGTGTATGCTACATCCAAATTCCCCTTCTGAGATATTCTTTATACATTGGCTATCATAAGACTACATTACTGGTGCATAGTTGACTGGGCACAAAATAATGTCAACCACAGATTACCATCAGATCCAATGGCAATAAGAACTCACATACCATCTCTCAGGAATATTAAATATGAAGTTGAGAACCAAAGAGCAAGTCATTAAGTAGTAGCAAAGGTAAATCATGAAGATTTGAGGGAGTAACCACCAGAGTTCTGTTGGTTACCAAGGGTACTGTACAACTGGAACTACCGCTGTCTCCCATTTTCTGAGCAGCCCGCCCATTTCTTTTTCTTCTCAGATGACCTTAAAATGAATTCCCATTTATTAAAATAAGTAGAGGGCTTTGTTCTTCTTTACACCCTACATTAGGCCATAAATGACAGTCTACTTAATGACTAATATACAGAGTCCTTACCTATTATTCTTTATCTTTCAGAGTCCTTAACTACTTAGGGGCACTGAATAGTCAAGACCCCTCATATTTCATTTCCAAGTATATAGACATGTGGCCTTCCATGTCTACATAGGATGAAATTATGACAGAAAATCCCAAAACACAAGCACATCCTAGAGCAGCAGGCTTACTGGGATAAGGAAAAACAAAAAGAAACAAAAGTAAAAGAAAACCTACCACATGTTTTAAGAAGGAACAGATTATCCTGGTGTATGGCCTGCATTGAAATCTTTGTCTTGCTCATGTGTTATGGCCACTGATGACAAATGTAAAAAAAAAAAAAAAAAAAAAAAAAATTAAAATAGAAGCCAATGCTTTTGTATACACTCTTTATCCAGGTGGCAGACGAGTCAGTAACTGACTTTCCTCATTGCTTTCCAGAAATCAAAGACCACTGGCATTTGATAAGTGGCCCAGAACCATGACTAACCTGGCTGTGTCTTTCCCCAGTGTTCTGACTTCTAATGAACACTAGCTGAAGACAAAATGGTAGCTGCTTTACCTTCCTAACAAATGCATTATGTTAGTCAGGGTTCTGTAGAGAAATTGAACTAAAATGACACATAAGCACACATGCATGCACATATACCACACACACACACACACACACACACACACACACACACACACACACATTAATGAGGAGACTTCAAAAAGCTCATGAAGGATAGGTCCGATAGTGCAAGTGGTTAAGTGATGTGAATGGTGAGCTGATCCCACATGGCCAACCACGGTTCAAATTCTGGCCCCATCAACTTAAAAAACATACCAGGCACATGTGCACGCTTGCCCCAAATCCTAGTGGGTTGGAGAAATGGATTGAAGCTTGTCTATGCTCCATTGAGAGGTGTTTTCTCTTTCTCTGGTGAACACACACACCCTCTGGCAATTAAAAACAAAGCAAAACAAAGCTCATGGAAAAGTGGAATTAAAGTACAAATTCGCATGGGTACAAACAATTTTGAAATTCATACAGTTTCTGTAATGTACTTTCTCTATGAATTTTTGAAGACATTCTCTCTCCGCATGGAGAGAGAGAGAGAGAGAGAGAGAGAGAGATTTTAAGGAATTAAAAGAAATCATTTCATACAATTGTGAAGGCTGGGAAGTCTGAAATTTGGAAGACCAGTAGACTGGAAATTCAAGCCAGATTTTATGTTGCATCATGAGGAAAATACTTTCTTTAGGAATCATCAATGTTTGTTCTTAATGTCTGAAATTATCAAATCTACCCAGATTTGGGAGGGTAATATGCTTTACTTAAAGTCCACTGACTTAAAAGCTATCACATCTAAAACCACCTTCATAGCAACATCTAGACTAGTGTTTTTTCAAACAACTGGCATCCTGCACTCATCAGGTGACGCATAAAATTAACCATCGCACACATCACTAAGTTAGATTTAACAACTGTAATTATTTGATGTAGGGTGAAACATAACTTTTTAATCTTTATGGGAAACAGAGAGATGTAGAAAAATTTCTAAGCAAAAAAAAAGGTTCCATATAAAGGCCAGCAGGTGGCGTGGTGGTTAAGGCACTGGACTCACACATGGCCCATCACAGTGTGACTCCAGGACCTAGTAGCTTGCTATCTCAACTTCTCTATCTTGTGAGCACACATGTCCTATAGAAAACTTAAAGTAATAATAATAAATAAAACAAATAATTTTTAAAAGAAAGGATTAAATATAATTGTGGACTCAGTTTGTCTGTAACACATGGTTAAAGAGTTGGCCTGTTTATTTTTTAGTATGGATATATATATATATTGCTCCTGGTAAGTACATATGGCTGTATTCACTGTATATCGCACTGAGGTGTCTGAGTAAGGGGAAACACAAGGATGGTAATCATCTCACAGGTTGTTTTCCAAGCCATTTGTCCCAGTTAAGATTTGTCCCCTTGCTTCAATGCCTTTCTTCAAGCAAGGCCACCTTTCTCTCTTTTGCACAAGAGTGCCAAGAATTAGTCATGCCAAGCCTGTGCCCAGGAGCTGTGGCCACCCAGAAGAGGTACTTTAATCAAATTTGCATGAATATGTCCTAGAGGTTGTCAATAGCCACATAGAACTCTTGTGTCTTTAAATATATTCTTTAAGACATACATCCCAATAATTCAAAAAGGTCTTTCCTCCCACTAATTGAAAGATGAAAACAGAGATTATTGTAGGCTGAATGCATAATTAGCTTTCCATTCTCCTCTTTGCCAGAACCACCTCCTTTTCTTCCTGCT